TCTTTTTAGACTATTTGATAGTGAGAGGACTAATTAGATATAATTAGGATTAGATAATTTGTATTAATTGGTTAATCCATTGTTAATTAGTACAAATTAGCTTAAATACTGATTAGTAACTTATATATGTAAATATATATATAAGAAATACATATCACAGAGATAGAAATAATTGGTTGATTGATTGATTGACTTCGTAATCCAGGTTTAGGAGGCAAGGGGAGAAGACGGGAATGCAGAGGAGGTGTTTCTGAGGAAAGGGGTTTCCTGTCCATGCTGAATTGTGAAATGCTGAGGCCCATGAGAAATTAGCAGGATACCATGGGAAGGAGTGGCCTTAAGAGAACCGCGTGTTGCTTCACTAGTGTTGGAATGTGTATCTGGGTGGGCTGGGATTGGGGTTCCTGGGAAGAAACCAAAGAAGCCCAAGAGGTAAACTGGAGCCAGACCAGGGCTCGATAGGGAGGCCTGGTAAGGAGTTGGAATTTTATCCTGAGAGCAATAGGGAACCCTTGACTGTTACTTTGCTAAGCAGGGGAGTGAGAAGATGAGATATGCACATTAGAGAAAGTATGGCACTGCCTTTGTGGAGAATGAACTGGAGGGGCCAGAGGAGGGCAGGAAGCCAGGAAGGGAGGCTGTCACAGCTCTCCCCTCCGCCAGCTGCTGGTGGCCTGGACCAACTGTTAGCTGCTCTCTCTGCCTGCATCCTACACGAAGGCAGGCAGGCAGCCTGCAGATTGGATTCTGCTGGTGAAAAATCTGTATTGCCTGAGGCTGGTTCTCTCGTATGTACACCTCTCCCTGAGGTTGGATCCTTTGGAAGTTGCTTTGCCCCCTGGGCTGCTGAGTGCCATTAAATGCCTGCTCAGCATACTAAACGGAATGGAATCCAGCCCCCAGTTGGCCAGTAAATGAGTATAACTTATGTTGGATTCCAGCTAATGTGCAGGCTTGGAAGGAGCATGAAGTCTGGGCAGTCACTTGGGTGCCATTTGGAGTACTGAGCTGTGATTTACTTGGTCATATCTCGGTGGCCTGCATGTGCCAATATAGCTTCCATGGTCTTTTCCACCGTGTTCCAGGGAATAATTTACGGAATGAAAACATCCATTTTTAAAATATATTTTCTATATCTTGTTCATTTTCTTGGTGGATAGGGATTTTTGAGGTCAGTATTTATTGTTAGAAAATGTATAGTACAAATGAAAGTAGCAAGTCATAACCTAAAAATGTGGAGTTTAAACGCAAGTACAAGTCATAACTCAAAGTAATTTTTCCTATCAAATGTATAAAATAGTTAAAGTTTATTAAAAAGGCATTGATAGTCCCACTTCTATCCAAAAAAATGTTTTCAAGGAATTTTAAAAAGCTCTTTATAAGTTTGCTTTATAGATAATATATTAATTGCTCACTGATATGTAAAAACATGATGAGTCATACGCTCATGAGGTTCGATGCTTATAAAAACAAAACTAAACTGATGTTATCCTGGGAAGCCCTGTGAGGTCCAAGACTATGACTTAGTCATCTTTTTATCCCCATGTAATTGTCGCCATGAGCCCAGTGTTTAATACAATTAAGAAGTATGAGATCGCCACATGAAAATGAACATTGATAGGGGATCTTGTCTCCCGAGGCCCTGATGTTCATGGTGGCATTCATTTTAGCAGTGAGAGAGCTCTCTGCTTATCTTTGATGGGTGGGTGTGCTGGGAATTTTGAACAGTATTCATGAAAGATACAAATGAAAAAAAAAATCCTCCAATATGAGTCTGTGTGATAACTAAATTTAAAACAATCTTAGGAAGTATTTTCCCTTCTTAATTAAAATAACAAATCTTTAGACTGAGTTTTCAAAGTTCAGAGATGCTTGATAAGTAGGAAAACAATTTTAGATATGCAAAGAGATTAAGTCATGTTTATCTAGTTTAGGAAAGTAAAAAGAGAGAAAAGATACATAAATACAGTGGAGAATATTAGAAATGTTTGCTGGAATAAATAACAGTTCCTAACATTTGTTGAGACTGTAGATTATTGACTGTACTTTCCCAAACATTACCTCATTTGATCTGTTTGAGAAACCCTATGAAGTAGAGTTTTTGCCAGTAGGGAGATTATATCTTAGAGGGATTAGGTGATTTGTCCAAAATCCAAACAGCTCCTAAGTGATCAACTGGAAACTGTCTTCTGGCTCTTAAGCCAGCACTTAAATGTTCAGTAGCAAGTAAATAATTGGCATATTGTGGTTACTACATCATATCTGGGGCATCTGTGAATAGCTCATTCACATTGAGCTTTCTCATTGAACTGCCAGCACATTTATTGCGTGTACCGTCATTTGCCATAAAATTTTTATTTTTTAAAAAATGGTTTTTCTATTGACAGAAGCAACACAGCTCTGAGTAGAACATTTAAAAATATACATTGACTTTATGAATATTATGCAACCAATGATTGTACCTCTCCATAGATAACATTTCTGAGATTCCTGTGGTTTTTAAAAATGTCTTGTGCTTTTAGACACAGACGACAATGTGATGTTTTACCTGAGGGAAGGGAGTTAAGGGGGTAGTAAAAGGTAAAGGGGGTCAAATATATGGCGACAAAAGATGATGTAAGTTTGGGTGGTGGACACACAATGCAATATACAGATCATGTATCATAGAATTATACACTGAAATCTATATAATCATATTAACCAAGGACACCCTCAATAAATTTAATTAAAAAATTAAAGAAGTTTTATTCTTTTAAAAATATTTCCAATGAGATCACCAAAAATATTTTTGTTGTTTTAGTGTTTACTTTAGCAAAATAGTATGAGAAGTTTTCCCCACGTCATTGAATGTCATTATAATACCATTCAAATAGCTTCATAGTGTTCTGTTTTCTGGTTAACACCTATGACAAGCTTGGGGATGCTTTCTATGTTCCTTTCTTAGGAACAACACTGAAGAACGTCTTCACTATCTTTTTGCATAAATCCATATTTATTTCTTAGGGTAACTATCTGGCTATAAAATTCCTGGGTTAAATGGTATACAAAATTTCCTTTTTTAAATATTTTTATTGATTTCAGAGAGGAAAAGAGAGGGAGAGAGAGATAGAAACATTAATGATGAGAGAGAATCATTGATCGGCTGCCTCCTGCATGCCCCACACTGGGAATTGAGCCCGCAACCCGGGCATGTGCCCTAACCAGGAATCGAACCATGACCTCCTGGTTCATAGGTCAATGCTCAACCACTGAGCCACTCCAGCTGGGGCCAAAATTTCTTTTTCTTAAATATATGTTTTTATTGATTTTAGAGAGGAAGGGAGAAGCGGAGAAAGGGAAAGAGGGAGGGAAGGAGGGAGGGAGGGAAACATTGATCAGTTACCTCCTATATGCTTCCAGATCGGGGGCTGAATCCACAACCTGGGCCTGCGCCCTGATCAGGCATTGACCAGAGATCTTTCGGTGCACAAGATGATGCTCAGCCAACTGAGCCACACTGACCAAGGGCCCACATTTCTTAATCATTGACCAAATAGCTCACCAGAATGGGTTTACCTGTTTAAATTCCCATTTTGCAGTGTATAAATGCCCTCTTTTATGAAATTGCTTATCCCTGATCTTGTCATTTCCAAAATCTTTGTCAATATGATCTTGAAATTAGTATATTGTTGCTTTGCTGTATATTGTTGGAGGATAGGAAGTAAAGTGAGGGACAGAACTAAGATTGGCTCTTAAGTTTATATCCTGCACGTTGCTTACCATTTATTGTTGAACATGTGTAGACATTCAATACATAGAATGTTACCTAGCACATCCTATGTAATAAAAGCTGAATATGCTAAGTGTCCGGTCGTCCAGTTGGCCGTTCAACCAATCAAAGCATAATATGCTAATGATATGCTAATGCTGCTCAACCACTCACTATTACGTGCACTGACCACCAGGGGGCAGACAGTCGAGCAGTAGGCTAGCTTGCTGCTGGGGTCCAGCCAATCAGGACTGAGCGAGATGGGCCGGACACTCTCTGGAGCCCTCCTCTGGTCCCTCCCCTGCTGGCCCACCTCCCACATCGCTCCCCAGCTCCGATTGTGCACCGTTGGGGTCCCTTGGCCTGGTCTGCTCCCTCTTGCAATCCAGGACCCTTTGGGGGATGTCAGAAAGCTGGTTTCGGCCCGATGGCGGAACAACCAGTCACTATGATGTGCACGCTCAACACAGGAGCTGCCCCCTGGGGGTCAGTGCACTCCCACAGGGGGAGCACCACTCAGCCAGAAGCCAGGCTCACAGCTGGCGAGCACAGTGGTGGTGGCAGGAGCCTCTCCTGCCTCCATGGCAGTGTGACATCCCCCTAGGGCTCCTACATCCTGCGAGAGGGTGTAGGCCAGGCTGAGGGGCCCTTCAAGTACACAAATTTCGAGCACTGGGCCTCTAGTGTAATAATAAAGCATTGGTCATGTTCCTCTCTGACCTCTGTTTTATCAAATACTTCAAGTGCTACCTTTCATTCTTCTGTGAGATGAAATAGTCAGCTTTTTCATTGGGCCATTAGGATAAGTATAAGCACCTTAAGTTATTGGAAATAACAACATAGTTTTTGGGCTTGCAGGAACTCTAAGGTCACCTAATCTTGTTCCATCATTTTACTAAGAATACTTAATGTAAAATGGGGAAAATCCTGTTGTGTTTTGCTAATTGAAATGGAAAGCTCAGTGTCTAGTAGTTTTGCACAAATGTATAATTTCATCAATAGTTTACATGGCTTATTCATTCATCACAAATTTAAACCTCCTTACATTTTAGTTCTTTGTAATCTGGTAAAACTAAAATTGTCAACCATTTTAAGAAAATGCAGTTTTAGCCATGGCAATGGATTCTGGTTCTGAAGAGAAACCAAATACATTTGCAGTGAACTCCAATCCTGCTTTGTCTAAGTAATAATTTCCTGTAGGCATGTGATTCTACGAAGCTTAGTCAGCCTATTTCTTTTCATTTTGTTTCAGGTAGCAGTTTTACAACATCATCAGGATTATATACAGGAAATAATTCACTCACAAATTCCTCTGGATTTAACAGTTCACAGCAGGTAATTTTAAAAGCTAATTTAACTTCTGAAATTTTAAAAATGCACAGATGATTTCTTTATATGAAAAAAAAAAGATCTGTTTATAGGACACTATAAGTGAGAGCTTTTCTAAGCCTTTTAATAGTTTTTTTCTTCTTTTAATATCTCTTTAATAGTCTGACATGGTGCATTGTTTGGTTTTGGGGTTGGTTTAATTTTACTTAGTAATGCATCATGGCACATATAAGAAATGTGAAGAGTGTTCTGGTCTTACATAAAACTCATTTGTAAGTCTGAGCACTTCAGTCAACGGTGCTTTGTGTGTTCCTAAGTAAATTCAGAAACACAGATTTATTTGCAATATAAGAAATAAGCAGCCATACTTTCTGACAGATGATTCTTGCATGGTTTGATTTGCTAGGACTATCCGTCTTACCCCAGTTTCGGCCAGGGCCAGTACGCACAGTATTATAACAGCTCACCGTATCCAGCGCATTACATGACGAGCAGCAACACCAGCCCCACCACACCTTCGACAAATGCCACCTACCAGCTTCAAGAACCTCCATCTGGCATCACCAGCCAGGCAGTTACAGATCCCGCAGCAGGTAATTATGCTCATTTTGTTGGCTCTGCAGGCTGTATTTCTTGTGGTTTAAATGCATTTTTCTACTGTCATATATTCATGCAGTGGTTGCAGGGTTTTGGCAAATTTGGGCAAGCCTACAGACAAATCAAGCAGCATGAGCATGGCATTGGCTTTATACTAAAATATTTAAACAAATAAAAATAAAGCATGTGAACTTCAAAAGCACATGAAAAGATTTCATTTAATTATAAATATGCGATTTTCAAGACTTATATAGCTTTTTACATGCATGATTATAAATAGTTATAATCCTTAACTATAATTATAAGTAATTTGCTGACATTGAAAATGAAAATAAGTGCCATCACCTTGAATTTAATGTTGAAAAACATTAAATATTTAATGATGATAAAGAAATCAAATAGCATGAGAGGGCTGGTGATGGGAAAGTGATTCCCTGGCCGATCCTTTCCCACTCATGCAGGCTGTGAAATGGGTAGCAGTGTGCCTAAGGCATTTTCCATGCCTCTGCGCAGCCTTGATGGGCCTCCTCCTCCCGTGGAAGTTTTCCTGCTATGGTTTTGGTACTTCTTCATGCTCGCGTTAACACTGTTTTAACATGACCTCTCCTTTCATGGATTATGAGTGAGCTCTTACCGGCCAAGAGTCAGAGAGGGTTCTTCCTTTGCCTTTTATTCATGGAGCTGATGCCCACTGTGTTGCTACGAGTCAGGTGAAATGGTCTTATATGGAAAGACTCACTTTTATGATATTTTGATCAGAGGTTAATTCCGGGTGGTTATCCTATTCATAAAAAAAAAGTTTTAGGTAACAGATGCTAACTTAAATTTTGACTATTGGTTTATTCTGTAGATGTTAGCAGGCAACCCGCCCCCCCCCCCCAAAAAAAAAATAGCTTTACATTTTGTGTTCTACCTTTTCTCTTAAATGCATGCCAACGCGGTTTATTCCAGAGTAAGCAGTTAAATCATTCCTAAACTGTGTTCCAGCTCACTGCAAATATTCATTTCTGATGCACATCCCAACTCTAAACATTTTTATCTTTGATCACATTCCGTTTACCTTTATTTTTTTAAAAATCTAGTTGGATATTCTTCACCCACGTCACATGTGTAAATACAGTTTTCATAGAGCCTCGTATACATGTCTCTTCTGTCTTTTAATTAGATTCCACATCTATATAATCTCACTCAGGATAAACTTTGTTATAAAAGGTATTGAATTTAATGTAGCTATTATTGTAGAATTTTCTACCCTACTTTCATAAACTTCATGAGGGAAGATAAGGGCTTGTTCCAAATTTAGGGAACTCTTGTGTTTTCACATGTACCCCCTGGGTCATGTAAGAACTTGAGGACTAAAAGTTGTCTTGAAATCTTGTAATGCAGATAGCTGTGTGAATGAGTAGTAGAAAAAGTTTTTAGGATCTGTGAGATAACAGGATGAGAAAAGGAGAAGGCAGAAGAATTATACTCAATTCATGGCATTTTGGTTTGTGAAAAGTACAATATTCTAGTAAAACAATCTGGTGGAGACTTAATTATGCCTTTTAAATTAAGGTTGATTAGAGCTTTATAGGAAAAACAATTTAGTCATATCATGAGTTTGTCCCTGAAATTAGACACTGTTTTAAGTGAATCTTATTTATGAAAGGGATGCCATGAAAAGGGTGGGCATGACTCGGCACAAAACCATGCCGCTAGGGAAACAATGCAGAATTATCACTTTCTAAAGGTATAATATGATTTTTAAGGTTGAATGACCTATTTTAAGTTTTATGTTAATAAACAGTGTTTTAGGTACTTATTTCAATTTCAGTATCTTTATGGCTACAGAGTAGGAATTAATTGAACTGGGGAGAAAATAATATTTTTCAGAAATCTTGTATTTACCACTTCCCACTGAAATGAATGTGTATGGTTAAGCCTTTCTTTGTTGCATAGTTAGAAGTGGAAAGTTCATTGAGTTTCCACATTGAAAAAGAAATGTGGATTACTTTAAAAAATTCAAGGAATATTTAGTCTGGGTTTTTTTACATTGTGGTAAGCCTCAGTTTTTTGGCGCTAGCCTTCCTTTCTTACTAATCATATATAGAGTTGCAGACTTGTCCTTCTTGATTAAAAGGAAGTTTTGTTGTTAAAGTACAGTAATTTATTAAAGAATTAGAAGGAGATATTTATTACACATAACCTAATGTCTTTGTTTTAAGATAGAGATAAAAATAGTTGAAATGTTTCTTTTTGTTGAAATAATTTCAAGTGTTTTTTCTTTTATTTTTAACCCATCTAGTGACTTTAAAGTCACTATTTTCTAATGCTGGAAAGTTAGACTCTAGCCATTATCTGATTTTATATATGACCAGGATGCTATCTTTCAGTCTCGTGGAATTGTGCACTACAGATAAATACATGCTTATGGTATCTGTTATTGTATTGTTCACAGAATCATTATGTCAGAATGAACATATAAAGATAACCTTCAGGGCAAACATGTAAGGACTCATTTGTTTATTTTACTGTGCATTTTTAAAGCTATATGAAAAATAGGTATCTTTTAAGTACATGACATTATGCAGTGTTACTTATAAATGTGAACCTACTCATGAATCTTAAGCTCAAAAATTATTGTACTGTGTTTATAAATCTGAAAGCTATCTTCTCCCTTGGAAAGGCAAGTCTAAAACATTAAAATTACATAACACATATGAAAGTTTAATCTCAAATATTTAATTCATTTTAAAAACTAAAAACAATGCATTGCATTCATTTTTGTTTATTTCTTATTGATATGTAATTAACATATAACATTAGCTTTGGGTATACGGCATGATGATTTGATATTTGCATAGACTGTGAAATGATCACAATCTAGTTAACATCCAGGATTACACATAGTTAACAAGTATTTTTTTCTTGTAATGAGAACTTTTAAGACCTAGTTTCTTAGCAACTTTCAAATATTTTGCATTCACTTAAAAATGTGTTTGATAGTATGTTTGGACTATCTTAATGAAATAAAATTTACATCATCTGAAAATAGATAAGAACCTGTCTGCCTTGAGAAATACAGTGAGGTTTATCATTCAGCAACATTTTACTTTATTTATTTATTTTTTAAATATATATTTTATTGATATCAGAGAGGACAGGAAAGGGAAGAGATAGAAACATCAATGATGATAGAGAATCAGGAGAGAGAGAAGATAGAAATATCAATGATGAGAATTATTGATTGACTACCTCCTACAGGTTTGGGACTGGGCCTGCAACCCAGGCATGTGCCCTTGACTGGAATCGAACCCAAGATCCTTCAGTCTTCAGGCCGACACTCTAGCCACTGAGCCAAAACAGCCAGGGCTCATTCAGCAGCATTTTCATTTATTTATTAGGTTCAAGAAAGTCATGCTTACTTTCCAACTAGAAATGCCTGCCTCCACCTCCCAATTGAAGGATATTTTGGTTGTTTCCAATTTGGAAATCTATATATATAAAAAGGCAGTGTCCATGACGACCAGGATGACCAAACGACCGGTCACCATGAGGTAGCATTGACCACCTCTCGGTCCCTCCCTGCCCCTCCTCCCCCAGCCCATGAGCGGGGTGGGGTGGGACTGGGGACTGGTGAGTGGGCTGAATGGCTGACCTCTTGGTCCCTGCCCCTGGCCCGCAGGCTCCAATGGATCAGTGATGGTGAACGGGGGAATTGGGGTGGGTGGCGGGAGGACCGGGCGGCTGTCAGGCTGTGGGATTACCAGCTCATCCCCAGCTGCTCAGGGGCTCAGGCCTGCGGGAAAGCAGGCGCCAGTGACTTCACCTCCATGCATGTGCACCGGGCTGGCTGCTGATGGAACACGTTGTCTGCTCGGGGCCGCTCACACCAGGGCGGGTAGGTCACGGGCGAGCCCCACAGCTTCCGTCAGCACCTCAAGCCCCAGCGGCAGCGGTGGTGGCAGCGAGCGACCTAAGCGGGCAGTGCGTTCCATCAGCGGCCAGCCCAGCGCACACGCATGGAGGTGAAGTCGCCAACGCCCGCTTTCTCACAAGCCTGCGCCCCCAAGCAGCCGGGGATGAGCTGGTGATCCCAACAGCCTGACAGCCTGGTGGCATAGGCAGAGGCGGCGTTCAGCCTGGGGTCTGGCGTACGGGCAGAAGATGGAGGCTAGGCCTAGGGACCCGACCCACATGATTTTGTGCGCTGGGCCTCTAGTTATATATAAAGCTACTAAAAATATTGGTGTGCAGGTTTTTGTATGGACATAAGTTTTAGTTCATTTGGGTAAATACCTAGGAGTGTGATTGGTGGATTGTATGGTAATAGTGTGTTTTGTTTTATAAGAAACTGCCAAATTGTCTTCCAAAGCAGCTGCACCATTTTGCGTTCCCACCTGCGAAAGAAGGAGAGTTCCTCTTGTTCCACATCCTTGCCAGCATTTGATGGTGTCACTATGTCACATTTTGGCCATGCTGATGGGTGTGGAATAGCATCTAGTTGTTTGAATTTGCATTTCCCTAATGAAATATGATGATGAGTATCTTTTCATATGCTTATTTGCCATCTATCTTCTTTGGTGAGGTGTCTTTTCAGACCTTTTGCCCACTTTTTAATCAGGTTATTTGTTTTCTTATTGTTGAGTTTTAAGAGTTCTTAGTATATTTTGGATACAGGTCCTTTATCAGATATGCATTTTGCAAGTACTTTCTCCCACTCTGTGGCTTATCTTACCATTCTCTTAACAGTATCTTTTGTGGAGCAGAAGGCTTTAATTTGAAGTGTAACATGAATTTTTTCTTTCATGAAACATGCTTTTGGTTTGTATCTAAAAAACGTATTGCCGTGCCATAGGTTTTCTCCTACATTATGATCTAGAAATGTCATGGTTTTTGCATTTTACATGTAGGTCTCTGATCCATTTTGAGTTAATTTTTGTGAAAAGTGTAAGGTCAGTGTCCAGATTCACTTTTGGCATGTAGATACCCAGTTGTCATAGCCTCACTTGTT